GACGAGGTCTTCACGAAGGACATGATCCATTTAACTGGGTAGATGGGATCAAAGTTTTTTGTCAGTACCATTCTTAGTGTGTGTTAATGTTGGGTTGATTACTTTGCAACATTTACTTTGCGGCAGCCAAATACCACGTCATGATTGACATGAAAGACAACACCCTTACGCTCTGATTGGTGGAAACATACTCCTATGGTGCGAGTAACATACCACTCTATGTGCTTACATAAAGCTATTTAAATATTTTAAAAAATGGTAACTAAAAAACAGGCACTCTGGGGGCCTTGGGGCTGTGATCTGATCGGTTATACATACATAGGCGATCTGAGGCGATCTGATCTGTGTAAGATACATACCCTAATGCAGCGATCTGATTGATGCGAGCAACATACCACTCTATACGCTGACATAGAGTAATTTTTTCCCAAAAAAAGTCTGACTTTAAGATAGGCACTCCAGGGGCCCAAGGGCCTATTACTCTTCTTGCTGCCTTTTTTTCTCGCAGGCGCTCTTTTTGACGGCGCAGACTTCCCGCCAAAGGGTAAAATCAGCGGAAATTAAGAAGCGCATGCGTTAGAGGACGAGAATTCCAAGATGGCGCATATGGGTCTTGAAAAGTATTTAGATCAGGTCAGGAAGCGATTTCATTGATAGTTTTGTATTAAAAGAAAAAAAAAAAGAAGAAGGAAAACAACCGAGAGCTGCACTTACTTTCATGCTTGAACTTTCCCAATAGGTGAAAAAAGGACTTGTTTCCAAAAGTGGCGACATTTTAGCGGTAAGATTCAAATTGTCCTAAGATCGCACAAAAGCGAATTTTCCTATCTTCAAATACACAGAATGTTTGCACACTATCGTAAGATTAATGGAAGTTTTTTGCAATTTATAATTAAAATTTTCGCAGACCGGGATACAGTTGCGCAGTTGTTGCCTGTGCGTCGAGTACAACAGCATGTCTTTACCATATGATTGTTTAAGGGAAAGTCTAAATATATAAAGAAGTGCTTAATTAAGGTATGGTCCCGCGAGAAACAAGTTAGTTTTGTTTTCTCTCGAGTCCTGATGTTTCCCTCGACTTCGTCTTGAGAAACATTAAGACTCTCGGGAAAACAAGACCAACTGTTTCCCTCTGGACCATACATTAAGTGTATATTGTTGCCATTGTAGTAAAGTTGTATCAATTCACAGGTGCCAGTTTATAAATGAAAATTTGATTTATTTAAAGCAAATAAAAATTGAGCATAAGATATCAAAGGAATAGGAAGCAACTTTTCCTTTTTACTGACTCTTGCAATTAATTGTACTAGTGAATATTTCACCTATGCTTGTTATGATGTGTAATGATATTTAAACATTTTGAAATATTTATGTACTTGTAGGAACTATTTTCCTTTCGTCATCCACACATAGCAAGTCCAAGACTTCAGGTAAAACCATTACAGATTACTTACTTTGGGGATAATTTGTATAAGTATACAATAGAATAATGGATAGTTTTGAGGGCATGCTATGATTGGTGCTCAAACTCCAAATATCCTTTGCCTTTCACCTTCAATCAATGCATGTGGGATTTAAGTTGAAATTTTTGTATTTGCTGCAGGAATGAATGAGTGAAAATGATCTTTTTGTGCTATATTATCTCACTGTTTTAGTGTATACTAAAATAATTCTTCACTTCAGTATTGGTGGCTTGGGTAAGATATTTCCCTTGCACCTTCTTGGCTGGGTAAATATCCACCTTTAGCCACCTCCACTATGGTCAACACTTTTTAATTATCACATTATGCAGACAGCCCTGAGTGCACTTTTATTGAAAAATGTTATGAAAAAATCCCTGTGTGAGGGCTTCGAGTAATGGGGTTAATAGGGCTGGGACAAGGTCTGTGCAAGATAAACAGAATGGAAAAAAGCAGGAAGATGGGAAGAAAGAGAGAGAAGGACAGACACATGATAAAATGCCTACTGACTGAGATATGGGTTGTCAGGTGGGATAGGAAGATATTTTGCTCTCTGTCATGATGTGTAAACTAAGCACAATAAGGTGTGTATGTCATGACTTTGAGTGAAACATTTCAAACCAGGCCTTGCCAATTAGTGAATGTCTGACTCGTGAAGAGAGATGAAATTCCCTGTTCCTGCTAGTGCTTTTGAGATTGCATTGGTGTTTAGTTGTTTTATCATAAATTATGAAATATTATATTACCATATTTCTTTTTTTTATGGTAAAGTTATCGTTTTATGTTATTCATATTGTATTATTGAACTTTATTGTAAGTAGACTAACATCTCCCTTTGGAGAGTACGGCGCAATAAAGAGATACTATTAAAAAAAAATAATAATAAATAAATAAATAAATTATGAAAGGAACTAGTTTTTGAGGGACATAAAATCAAAAATATACATATATATATATATATTTTTTTTTTTTTGAACCAACTTACCATTGCATTGTATCAGATTTAGTTGGTTTGTATTTTTGTCAGTTACCAGATGCACAGCTGCAATGTGAAAGATGGTTTGAACCACCATATGATGAAATGGTAGCATATCATCTCAGGTAAACTATGCCTTTCAAATTCATCTCAATAAATGGGAGTTATGGGCTTGTGGTTTTATGAGGGAGGAAACTGAACAAGATACTCTTCTATTTATATTGTTTTTTTTGCAGAGCTATTTGGGCTGTGGCCAATGGTGATTATGTTGAAGCACGATCTTCCCAAGCAGTTGTTGTCCAATATCTTTTTTGAAAACCTATAATATGAAAAAGTCTTGTTAGATGGTTTTGGAAGTTCTGGAGGGAACAGCTCTTAATATGCTGTGACACACAATCTTTTTTCCCTCACAATTTTTCAAATTGCAGTAGTCCAAAAATAATTTGTTTTAATAATAGGCAGGTAATTATTTCTTCTCCCTGTATGTTCTTATTGTCCGTTTACACTTTCAAAAATTTTTTACACTTCTTACATGCTTGTATATATTTATTGTAACATTCTTGCCACTCACTTGAAAATGACCAAAGTTTAGTCAAAATGTTGTATTTTACTATTAATTTTTACCATCAAAATTTTTACCAAATCGTTATTGATAGGAATGTTAATGTTTTAATTTTCTAAGTATTCATTTTTTTATGTGCAAGTTTGTATTATTTTTTAATGACTTAATGATTTATGCAAAACTGGCCTAGTGTTGGTTTATGATAACCCTTTAATCAGCAGTTGGGTTACTGATTCCTTAGCATTGGTACTATTAAAATCAATCAAACAAACATATTGTGTTGTTGACCCAGTACAAGAAAAGTAGTGGGGAAAGAACCTTAAGTCATAGCAGCACCTAAAATGTTTTTGTTGGAAAAATCTCAGTGTATACCTGTTGTAACTTTTGTTTTGTACTTGTTAACTGTTTGCATATTATCCAATCATCTTTTACCTTAACAAATTGTAAGTCTTTCACCCGTGCTTTTCAAAGTCAAAAAGATGAAAACTGGTATGTTTATTAACAAGTAATCCTGCAAATTAATTTACCATTAGAAATGATTTAGATGAGATTTAATGCCTAACCAGCCACAGGATAGAAATCCTGAACATCCTTGTTATTAATTGAGAGTGGAAATGTGACACAGCTAAGTCTTTTTCCATGTAAGAACATGTTCTACACACTGTAATGACATCAGATGATTATGAAGCAGTGTAGTAGAAAGGAAAAGCAGCAGTCATCTTAAAGTTTTTTGCAAGTTTGATCTTTTAGAGTTGAATACAGGAGATAACTCTTGTGTGCTTAAAGACTCTGTCACTGTTTATTTTATCCTGGTTATGAAAGGTGACTGAGGCAGAATTTCTCCTTACCATATCAATACAATATCAAGCAGACAAGTGATGAGAATAAAGAAATTGTCAATTACAGGATTATTTTTTGATCCAATATCAAATTCTCTAAACCAACATCATAAGAATTGTATGGCAGACAGTAAGGAGAATTACCAATGAGATCTTGGAGGTGAATGGGTAAAGCCTTGAGGATTTCATCAAGTTCCCCTAATCTGTCTGCTTGCTGGTATCCAGGTATACTTCAGAGCAGAGAAATGCCTGAATAATTATGGATGCTATGTTTTGCTTTTACCAATGCCACCTCATTTGACAAGGGATTGTAATCTTTATTCTGTCTCTGGAAATATTAACCTTGGTGATATTAACCTTTTTTATTCACCAGGGCATTGCCATTAATGAATGTTGTCACATTAGATCTGAGACTTTTTGCCATGCAGGTACTACTGTTTAAAATATGTTGTGCTTAATAAGAATAATAATTATTTTCACTTCAATTCTTAATTACATATTAAGTTCCAAAGAATATGTCACTTTATCCAAAAAGAATTCTGTGATGTCAGAATTTGATTGTATTTAAAATTTTATCAGTAATAAAGTAATTTAACCCTAAAATCAAAACCTGAAACAACTTTTTCAGAACTGTTTCATTGTCAGTGATGTTAATTAGCCATATACCACTTTAAACAATAACTAGGCCCATGTTTTCAGCTTGCATAAAGTAATAAATGAGTAAAGTAATTTTATGGGGCTTGGTGGCATAAGTGATGCCAGAACATGACTTTCAAGAGTTATCATGTTTTGTCATTTTAAAATTAGTTAATAATATTGGAATTATAATTGGTGATTTTGACAGGCAGACAAGCAGCAAGTAAGAAAGGGACTGGGCAAACCTGGAGAAATGTTGGAGAAGGCGGCAGAAGTAATGATGGGGTGTTTCAGGGTCTGTGCAAGTGATAGGTCAGTTCATTGAGCTTGCCAGCTCTCACAGTTGTTTTGTTCAGGGAACTATATGGCTTATCTGCAATATTGCCATACTGTTAGTCATTTATCATTCAACTGCACAAAGTAAAGTACAAATAACACACAAATAGAGTACTGATATCCTGCAATATTGTATGGTTATAGGCAGTTATTTTTAATTGTCAAAAAATCTGTTTAACTAATTGGCTGCGTGCACTATGCTTCTCTATCTGCTTTGCTTTTCCCATCTTACAAGAAATGAACAGAAAGATTCAGTTGAAAAAAAAGGAATTGGATAATAAATAACTTATTAGACCTTTTGGTATGTAGTATTACTGGGTATTTTTACTTGTTGTTTGTATTTTGACTCACCCTACAGGCTGGTAAAAATACAGCACAACTCCTAAATATATTCAGTGATACTATACACCAAAACGTTTAATAAGATATATGTATTTACCTCATTGTTGCCTGCCAACCATTTGATGGGACATGTAAGAGCAATATTATTTTCATTTGAGTGTAGTCTTGGTGGTTTTGCTTTATAATACTCTCTGAATGGTCAAGAAAGTTGCACCAATCTCAACATAAATAAAAAACTCTGATGCATTTAAATGGCTCTATGCTTTTTTGTTTGTCATACTTAAATGAGTGGATATTTATCATTTTACTCTGTAGTCGTTCATCACTTGAGGTATCCAAGAAGTGGGGCATGCTTGCACTTGTAAATCATTTATTCAAGATCTATTTCAAGGTACTACTTCAATGAGTTTATTTGATATTTCAGTTCTGTGATAATCTGTACATAATATAAAGGAGAAATTTATGCACTTTCGAGTGGCTGGAAACAAGTGCATTTTTTATGTAATATGTCAAATGTGACACTAGATGGTGGCACAAGTTTTGATCTCTCCTAGAAACAACTGAAATGTTTATAGCACATGCAAATTCAGTTTTCTCTTGACATACTTTGAATTTTAACTTGATTACACAGTGCAAGTTTATTTTCTTGCTTATAGGAAGGGACAACTTAAAAAAAAAAGGGCTCACCAAGCATCCATATAAAAGGTTCTTTCTTCATTATGATGAAATAAAGAACAGACATTCTCTGTTTCCATTTGTTTTTACTTGCCCTCCAGATCAATAAACTTCACTTGTGCAAGCCTCTTATCAGAGCAATAGACAGTGCACCCATAAAAGACCAGTTTAAACTGGCTCATCTGGTTACATACAGGTATGGAGATGGTTATATGCATGTTGCATAGACAAAGGTAAATTTACTAGCAGTGTTCTTGACTAATAAGTCTCTCCCCCTCTCTCTTAAAAGGAAACCCAGCTCCCTTTCCCTTCCAAAACAAAAACTCTGAAATTAGTAGTGGTGTTGTGTCTACCCAGCTACTTCAAGCAAAGTAATCGTGCGTTTTTCTTCTCTTCTGATTTTCGTCAGATACTTTGTAGGAAGAAAAGCTATGTTTG